ATGCCTGGTACCTGTGGAGGGCAGAAGACCTTGGATCTCCTGGAACTGAAGTTACAGATGGTTATAAGCAACCATATGGGTGCTGGGGATGGAGTCTCAGTATCCTGTAACAACAGCCAGTGCTCCTAACTGCTGAACCATCTCGTCACTTCTCTCCAGTATTGAAGCTTTGCTTTATTTTCAATTGACAAAGTTGTATATATAAATACTGTATCATGAACAAATCTGGATAATTAGCATGTTCTTTACTTGAAAACTTTATCCTTTCTGTCAAAACTTTTTGATAGTAAAATTCAAAATGCTGTCTTCTGGCTTTCTTGAAATGAAAAATGTATTATGGATAGCTGTAGTTATTCTTTTGTGTAATACAATTCTGGAACTTATTCTTCTTATCTGACTGTAGCTTTGAACCTGTGAAGCAGCTTCTCACCCCACTTCACTGCACTCTCTCGCTTCTGAGAGTCACTCTCCTGCTTTCCACTCCTGTAAGACTCTTTCAATTCTATGCCTACAGGAGAGCATGTGGTAGATATTTCTTTTTCTGTGCAATTTACTTTTCTTACTACAATTTCTTTCACGTTCATTCATTTTCCAGGAAATTTCAGGATTTTACTTATTTTAGATGGCTGATAGGTCCTCTATTGTGTATTTACACGTTTTCTTCATCTGCTCCAATTGGCAGCACTGAGGTTATTTATTGTGAATAACTAGTAAGCAGCAGAGTGCGGATGTCTCTTCAGGATACTGATTTCGCTCCCTGTGGGTAGATACCTAGAAGTCAGATTGCTGTACATTTGCCCGCGGTGTGAAAGAATCCCCCTTCTTCTATGGAGTCCTCAGCCACATTTGTTGGTTTTGTTAGTAATCGCCCGTCTCACTGTGACAGTCACGTGATGCTTGCTGTTTGGATTTGCATTTCCCTGACAATTAGTGGTGCTGGCGCTCCTACTTACTTGCCTTGCTACTGGGTGCCTTCTCTTGAGAAGTGCCTGTATCTGTGTAATGTCCACTTTTATTAATGTTGCATCAGATGTAGAGTTTGCAAGTACTTTATTTCTTCAGGTTAATTATTTTCATTGCTACACATAAGTCTTTAGTTGATGCAATCCTATTTAGCATTTTTGGCTTTGTTGTCCATGCTTTTGAAGTTTTATTGAAAAGTATTGGCAGGGAGATGGGCCATCGGGCAAAGATGCTTGTAGCTAAGCCTGCTGACCTTAGCTTGGTACCTGCGGCCTATGTGGTGGAGGAGAGAACCAACTTGTCCTCTGGCCTTCACATAGTTCTCTGTATACACACATACACACACGCACACACACACACACGCCTTCTATTTTAATATGCCTTAAATAGTTCAATGGTTGAGCCTCTCCAAAACCTCTAAGTGGCTAACACCTCCCCTCTGAAACTCCTGAGTCATTTCTTACTAAAACCTATATTCCATCTTTGCTGCCCTAGAGCCAATGAGGGAGGGGGGCTGCTCTTCTCTGGCTCTTACGTGATTTCTATGCTCTCTCTTCTGCACCTCTCAAGCATGGACCTTACTCTTTCCCCTGGCATGGTGATTCTCCATCCTCCAGCCTGTCTTGATCCCCTTGTCGGAGATTCCTAAAGTCCCTCTTCTGTTTCCCTGCCTAGCTGGCAACTTTATTTACCAATCAGAACCAACTGGAGACAGAGGAACACACACACAGACACACACAGACACAAAACACCACACACACACAAAACCACCACACACACACACTACAAACATACCACATATACATATACAAACACATTACACACTACATACACCATACACACACACACACATACACACTACACATTACATACACTACACACACTTCACACTACACCACACACACAAGCACACACTACACACTACAAACACACTGCACACACACCACACACACACCATACACACCACACACACCACACACACACACACACATACACACACATTTTTCCCACTTTCTCTTTCTCTCTTAAAGTAGTAAAAAGTAGTAACAAAGTCTCTTGTACAGTTAATGCCATGAAGCATTTCCTCTGTTTTCTTCAGCTGGTTTTAGGTTTTAGTCTCATATTTAAGCCTTTAATCCATTTTAAGTTGTTTTTTTGTGTGATGAAAGTCATGAAGGATATTTAATTCTCTTGTGCATAGACATCCTACTTTTCTAGCAGAGCTATAGAAGAAATTGCCTTTTGCTCTTGGCGTCTTTGTGGAAATCATTTGGTTGTAAATGTGTGGCTATATTTCTGGGTTCTCTATTGTGTTTTTTGATTTTTATATGTGTTTATATCCTAGTGTCACTTGTGTTTTTAACGTCAGTGGTGTGGTAGCTCCACGTTTACTCCTGCACTCGGTAGTGTTGGCTATTGGAGGTCTTCTGCGCTTCATCTGCAGGACCCTTGGAAGAGCCTTTTCTTGTTTCTGTAGAGGCATGTTGGCATGTTGACGGGCCTTGCACGGCTTATATACATCACCGTGGTTACTGTGCACATTTTAAATCAGAATCTTGCTTTTCAGATATGTTGGGGTATCCAGGACTTGCTGTAGTGGGAAAACTAGGTTCTGACTGTGCTAAGTAGCCTTGGCTTCTGTTGCTTAGGTTCTTGCACTTGCCTCTCGCCATCTGGTTCTCTGGTGTTAGTTGGTCTTGCTGTCTGTGACTGGCACCTGTCCCTACTGTGAGCCTGTGAGCCTGTGAGTCTGTGATCTTAGGTGTGTCAACACTCCTGAGAGTCCAGCTCTCTCTGGGCGGGATTTGGGTATGGAGAGCTGTGCCACAGGGTTTATTCTGGGGTGCAGATCCTGTGCACATTTTAACAATATTGATTTCTATGGTCTGTAAACATGGAATGCTTCCCTCTGCCTGTATCCGTCTCAATCTATCTTCAATGTTTAACCATTTGCATTATAAAGAGTTTTCTGTCTTGGTTAAAATTATTTTTCTACTGTTTATTTTGTAGCTATCATAATGGGGGTATGTTCTTGTCAGATAGTTTACTATTCATGTACAGAAACACTGCAGATTTTTGTATGCTGGCTCTTTTTATCATACAATTTTACTTAATTTATAGGTTATAAGTTTTTGGCAGAGACTTTTATTTTTCACTTGTGTGATCATATCATCTGCAACTATGAAAACAAAAGATGTTTTTAGCACAACATAAAAATAGTACTAGTGTGTGTTTTTAAAATTTGTATTTTTCCTACTTTGTAAATATGATTTTAATATATAATTACAGATTTTACTTAAAAATAATTAATTTCTGGGCTGTGGTGGTGCACGCCTTTAATCCCAGCACTTGGGAGGCAGAGGCAGGCGGATTTCTGAGTTCAAGGCCAGCTTGATCTACAGAGTGAGTTCCAGGGCAGCCAGGGCTACACAGAGAAACCATGTCTCAAAAAACCTAAAAAATAAAAGATAAAAATAAAAAAATAAAATAACCCAATTTCCTTAACAAAATTAGTAAGGTACGTGTTAATTTGTTTTCTGTGTTTTCCGATTGAGAAATAGTCACAGAACTCAAGATCATGTGTAACAAAGCCAGAGAAATACTTCTTATAACGTGGAGGCCGAACCACTTTTGCAAGTCCTTAGGTGGTCTAGCTGGATTTCCAAGTAGTTATAACAATCTTCTATGTCACGGGATGCCTTGCCCACATTGTGCAACGTAGACATTAGAACCAAGCAAACCTGTTGCTCAACCACTTCAGGTCTGTTTCCTCTTTATCCAAATTAAGTTACTTCCATGCAAACATGGTTTAATACATTTTTAAGAAATCACCTAATGGGAGGAATTGTAAAAATTTCTGTAGACTCACTGATTATAAAGAAAAAAAAACCTCCTTTGAAAATATATATGAGCTGTTGGGGCTCAGAAGTCTCTATTATCTTGATAAAATTCAGGTTTAACCAACAGCTGGTGACATCAGGTACAATTGTTCTTAACAGATGGCAGTCTCCCTTCTACCCACGGAGCTTCCCACAGACTCCTGTACTAGGCACCCTGGGACTTCCATACTGCTGGTAGGCGTGACACACGTCACTAGAACAATATTGGAAGAGATGCTTCAGCTTCCCACCAGCTTAAGGCTGGGTTGGCTGCTCCAGTAGGAGCCAGTGATTTTTGCTGCTGTTTGTTTTATTTTTGCTGTGGGACAGAAGGTGAAAAAGAAAGAGAAGTCTGTGAACCATTCCAACAAGAGGTCATACGGTTCTTAAAGTCTATAGGATTTCTAGCCATCTATTTCCTTTGAAGTAAGTGATTTATTTTATGCTTTATATCCTGCGAAAGAGGAATTATTTTTAGAAGAATGAGGATACAACTAACTTGGAAGTTTCAATTTGTACTCAATGCATTGATTTATCAAGAGTTCCACAAAGAAAAAAATGGATTTTAAAAAGTCATTTTTAAAATGAGAAGAAAAAAGACCATTAGCATTTCCCTGGGCAAATCTGTTTTATAAGTTTCTATTTTGAAGATCTGAGACTTCCAGGGATTCTGTTTGCAGGAACTGCCTTGCTGCCATGGTTTCCTCCTCCTTGATTCATTCTGTTTAGAGCCCATGGCTACTTTATTACATTGTGAGGATATTTTAGGGTCCAAACTGTGTAAAGATTACTGATCTTACCTAAGCAATAAACAGACAATTTCTTTAAGGTATCATATTCTATTCTATTCTATTCTATTCTATTCTATTCTATTCTATTCTATTCTATTCTATTCTATTCTATT